ATTTCTTTTATATGCCAACATATAAGGTTTAGACTCACAGCCCATTTTGGCATTCTATTCCTGAGGTGATCGGAAGCATGGGTTTACATTCCTAATGTAACCTTTTCCCCTGGTACTTCAGAATTAGACTATCATAGTATTCCATAAATAGATACCAAATTACTATCAATCTGAAAACAATAGTTTATATAGGCCACAACTACCCATTACTTAAGCTGAACATTTGAAGACGTGTACTTGGACCAACTACTCCAAGATCTACATTAGCTGCTAATAAGTTATTTTGACCGTGACCTTCTTGGCATGCTGCAAAGCTTGTCTCTTTATCCAGACTTTTAAGAACAAGAGGCATAACAAATGCTGGTACTTGTAGGTGAGTCAAAAGGCTGTTTGAGCATGGTTTCACTATGATCAGTTATTTTCTGGTTGAGAAGTAAGCATTCATTATCTTTCATACCTTTCTACTTTGAATTATGCCACATGCAGAGAACACATCTTTTAAACATATTGGTTATAAACATTACAAAATAAATGTACTTGAGCTCAAAGAAATATAGTTTTCTGAATTCAAATTCTGATAATTGCCATTCCTACACTTCAGCTTCCTCAACTAAATAGTTACACTAAGGTTTGCCTGCTTTAGTTGAGAAAAAGGGTTTCTTTTAATATAATTGCTATGCTTTAATTTAATCCTCCTTTTAGCAGTCATTTTTATTAAAGCTGTAGTAGAAACCTTCCCAATTAAATGTCATACATTTTTACGTTAAATTATCATTTGTACACTCTCATTCTTACATGACCTTAAGCTAGAAAAACTGCAAACGAAATTATGCATTTTTATAACCCTCTATTAATATTATTCATGAGTAATGTTTATGTTGACATTTATTTAATTTAAAAATAATTTATTCTAAAAACAGAAAAGAAAATCCTTGGGATGGGTAATTGTGCTACATTTGATTGTCCAGGATCGATGTCCATAAATACTAGCTCATGTAAGTCACTCTGAGTCCAGTGTTATAGCATTGAGACCTAATACAGTGGTTCTGCCAATGTACACAACCATGGTAACATCCAAATCATTGTCCTATACCTGAGCTGATTGTGGTAATCCAAGTATTTGTGAATTTCCAAAAAAGGGGGCAGGACAAGCATTTTGGTCACTACAGCTAGGACTCAAATTCTACAAAAGTACCCAGAATTAACCCTTGCTAAAGCCAAGAGGATTTTTCTGTTGATTATATTGGGAATTGGATCAGGCCAAAGAGTAGAGCTGCTAAAAAAAATAAGATACCTTGTTTAATACAGTTACTTTTTAAAGAAGAAATGTTTGAAATGCCTATGTTGGGAAGGGCGATAACAAAAGCACCTGGACTAAATGACTATCTCAATTAGTTTTTATTTCAAGCATTTAATAGACAAATTCAACACAGGGTATGACCTAAAACCTGTTAAAGTCAGTCTTGCTTTGGTTTCAATGGAATGAAACAGAATGTCTGTTTTATTTTTGGCCAGCTACAGATATTGTTAGCTCCACAGTCTGGTTTTCCAGAGAGGTAGTTCAGAGCAGCTTTGGATACCTAGGTCCTCACAGTAGTATCCAAAGCCCAGAGTTAGGCACTGAGGCTCCCTACAAAATGCATGGATAAGAGGGGTAGCTTAAAAAGGGTGATCCAAAAAACTTATACATTAAGTGGGGAGCTGTTGGGGAAATACTAAGCACAGGTTGCATCTGAACTCCTACTCCTCCCTTGAGCTCAAGAACATGAATCAGAGCTGCAAGGCAGCTACCTAGAGCACTTCCATCCACTCCAGATCCAAAACCCACTTCTGAGGGCATGCACTTGTACCTAATTCTTTGAAAAAACTGAGTAAGGTTTATTATTTTAAAACCCAGACACTGGAAGAACAGGTGCAAATACCTACCTTCCATATAAATGTCTAGTACAGTTGGGGCCAACCTTTTTGGCAGACACACTACAAATTATCTCTATACCCTCCCCCAAGTGCCACTCTGACTCCTTTCCTTTATTCAAGTTGCTGATTTCTGCTTCTTGCCCTGTGCTCCCTGCCTGATCTGATGCCCTGTTTTCTTCACCCTGCTCTGTCTGCCACTGTGATTTCTGTCCCTTCCTCAGTTTGCTGTGTAACAGAGGCTGCCCATGACAATTGTTGCACCTGATCTAGTCACTGCCCAGGATGTGGAAGATCTGAATTCTAGCTTGAGAAGATTCAAATCCATATATGCCCCCTCTTAAAACAGCCCATCTTTTAGATATGAACTATTCAGGGTTCAGAGAGGCATCACCCACCCCTTCTTCAAGCTGAGCTACTATTCAAAAAAGAATGCAAGTTCATGGAACCAGGAGGACATCAAAGAGAAAACCTGACTAAATTTCAGGGCATTTAATTGTGTTTGGGTAGTCTGGGGTTCTAATGTCTATACCTTTTACATTAAACATCCTTGGGGAAAAAACCAAACATAGAAAAGCCTTTGAATGAAAATCTGTGTGTTATTCTTCAGCTCTGTTATCTGTGCTCTGAGCATCTCTATTGAATCTGTCCCCATAGGGGACTTAAAAACCATTCAGCTTAGTTTTTGGATCCAAATGAGGCTTAGGCAGGAGCTGGATGCCTAGCTGCTTAGACAGGGCCAATTCTGGGCATGAGCAAAAGCAAAATTGCAGGCTCTCAAGAGCTTTCAGATCATAAAGGGGAAATATTCACTGAGTTGAGGTGGCTGTCAAGCAGGGTTTTTTGGGTTGTTTTTCTTTTTTCCTTCCCTGGATTGTAATTTTGGCCTTAGTCTGCCTAAGATTTTAGACTCTTACTGGTAACTGTTCCTTTGGATCTGGCCCACTGACTGTCTCTCATCCGTCAGATTTGAGTCACTGATTCAGGATCAATGAACTCAGTTTATAAGTGGCATTAAGTGGCAGCCTTCCTGATCCTTCAGAAAACTTACATACACATCTTCCTGTCTCTGACTAGGCATTTGGAAGCTTCAGTGTTCATAACATGTTTTTAGGATAGTTTCACTTTATTGTTATGCATTAACTAATCAAAACCCCATTCCTATAAGCTGCCTGCATCTGCTTATGATTAAATGAAGGAGTGTCACCATTCTTTATGAGCAGGTGTCTGTGTTTTCTATCATTTCAGATAATTAATGCTTTCTTTTCCCCCTAATGCCGTTTATTGCAATAAATACTGCTGTTGCTATGTTTGTGCCTCTTTTCAAAAAAATATTTACAGGTGAAAATCTGATCGTCCAGGTGAGGCCACCAACATACACAATTGGTTACACAAGTGTGCAAGGATGAGCATTTGAGATTCTCTTCGCGTGCTCCACTATTTTAAAACCCTCACCATTAGCTGCAATATAAATGTGGTAGCAAACTTTTCATAGCATTGATGCATACGTTCACAATGAGAACAGGAGTCACATGGCTATCTTCATCAGCTTAGCCTCCACACAATATTATCAAAGCAACATTTGACACTACACCATTCAAGTTGCATTTGCAACTAACAATATATCTTGTCAGACAGCAGTTTTATTTAAAACCATAAATATCACAATGCCATGCCTCAAAAGACATCTCTCTGAAATTGATTTTTAAGCCTATGAAGAGCACAGAAAACTGGTGGCAAAAAGTATATTGATGAAAAAATTAATATGCGCTTCCCACAGGATTAATACAGCAGAACATTTTTGTAACATAAAAGTGTATTTCTCTGTGTCATGTCCATATTCAATTTTTACAGCTGTCTCTCTCTCGCTTTCTAATTACCTCCAAACCAGCAGGCAGCCAAATTACATGCCAAGATAGTTTAGGAGTAAGCATGGAGTCTTTTGGCTTTATTCAGATTAAAAAAATAAAAAAAGTAAATACTGTATTTTCTCACATGCAACAGGAGCCTTACTTCCCAAAGCTGGGGTGCATGTTTTAAGAGGGGAAGCTATTCCCTTCACTAGAAAAGAAAAATCTTGTAGATGCTGTGCATGCCATGCAACTGCCAAGATGGCTGCTGCTTGTATCTACTCAGCTTGAGCCAACTGAAGGGGTAGGCTCTTGTGTTAGCCCTCACACAACTGGAGCTATTGGCTGAGCACTGTAACTTGTGACTGAAGCAGCAAGTCAGCTGCTGGTAGTGAGTATCTTGATGAGGCCCGTGATGCAGAAACACTTTGGGCATTTTTACACAGAATGTGGTGCCAGGCACTTTAATTAGCAAGCCATGCTAATTAAAAGCACCTGCGTATCATGTGCATGAGGATCCCCATGCATCCCTGCGCTGAAAAAATGGTGGCGATGCACTTTGAATTAAAGCTCAAACATGTTTTATTTCAAAGTGCCTGCTGCCATTTTTTCACCATGGGAATGTGCGGGAATGGTGATACACATGACACAGAAGGCTGCCGGACCACAGCAATTTCCATGCTCCAGCAGACTTGATTATTCAGGTCTGCTCCAATGCACTGTAGTTCCAGCTCATTCAAGTAGGCTCCCCACACATCTACAGGAGCCCTTTGTTTGCAGGTATTCATATGGAAAACTACTACTTTATAGAGAACTAACAATCTTGGTACTGCTGCCTCCACGCCCCTGCCTGTGGCCTGCAGGCCACGGATCACAGGTGTGTCCTGACTCTAGACCACACTGTCACCGCTGCAAGATCCTGGCCCTGGAGCAGCTCCCAGCCCAGCTGTGTGCCCTACCAGAGCTGCTGGGCGGTCTCCATGGAAACCCGGGCCCTGCACTGTCATGGGCCCACTACTCCTGGGGTCTCCATGGAAACCAGCTGCAGCAACACAGGCAGGGATTGCTGGGAAATGGAGCCTGCCACGGCCCTAATCTGTCCTGCAAACTAGACTTTGCCCACCCCGGTATAGCCAAACTTCTGTCAGTATGGTTATGAGAAGACTTGGCAGAATTCAAATTTTTTTAAAAATAATTTCGACAGATAATATCAATGCTTATTTTTAAGCTTTTATTTTGATTTTTATTGATTTACATTTTCAGGATTCCATGGAATTCGGGACATGGGGGGGCAGACAATTTATTAATGACACATGTTACTACTGTAGGACTGCTGCCAGCTGAGCAGCAGAGCTGCCATCAGTTCCTGGCTCTGCTTGCCCATAGCTCCCTTGTCTGCTTTGTCCTTTCCTTTTCCTTTGTTTCCAGTTCCCTAGGGTTTCTCAGAGTTGCAGTCCAAACTACAGTCAGCATGGTTCTGTAGGACTGCTCCCTCTGTCATCACACACTCCATCAGTCATCATTTTTCTTAGATTCCCATTCTATCAATTTTGATTATTAACAATGGAAGTATTTTTTTCAATCTGTGTGAGGTGAAAGCAACATTTATCAACATTTACTGATAAAAACTGAATCCTGCCAAGCCTAGTTATGAGTTACTATCACAGAAAAGAGGCAATGGCTTATAAGATGTAGAAATTCAAAATAATTAAATTTAAGAATGAAAATGTATGAGTAACAACTATACCCTACTTCATAGCTGTGATGCTGGGGTCAATGATAACCCCAGCCCTCTTACATATGTACACAGCATGCAGTGGGGACCTGTACTACAGGATTACATACAAGTTCAAAAGGTTCACATAATTATATGTGAACTATTTTACTGAAAAAGTAAAAGTTTGTAGGGACACAGAGAGAAGACAACGGAGAAGAAGTAAATCCCTGCCTACTTTTACCCAATGGTAAATTGTTCAGACATCCATACCCATATACTATTTATGGAACCAAATTTACATTTTAGCTAACCTTATTTTATACTTTCCTCTCCCTACACATTGCCTATCAGTTCTGCTCTTATTTAAGTGAAGAGACTTAAGCTAGAAATAACCAACACTGAAGCCACTAAAGAAAATATGAATTGTGGTTTCAGAGAAGACTAAGCTGAAATATAGTTAAAAAGCATGCCCTGAAGAGCCTCCTAGCAGCATCTTGCCTCTCACTGGAGACCCTCTGCGGTCTTCTTTCAGTCACTCAGAGCCATTATTATTAAGAATTTGAAACAGAAATGTACTGGACCATGACCTGGTTTTCAAGGGTTAGCAGACAGTATTATAAGCCTCCTCTCAAATGTGTCAGGAGAGGCACTAGCACTGGTCACTGGGACTGGCAAGAGTTCAATATCACGAAGGGATTGAGTCTCATTAAAATTGACCCTCCAGACTAGCTGGTAGCCAAAAATTAAAAACAAATAAATGTTCTTTGAAGTCCTGTTCCAACACTTCATGAAACACTTTTGCTAATTGTTCATTTTAGGCTCTAGTGAAACCTCAGAACTTCTAGCCCCATGGGTAGATCCAGGTGGCTGCCATTGTAGCCCTCTTCAGCTGTGCAGTGCATGCTCAGTTTGATCCCTGAGCTCACTGGCTTCTTAGTGCCGCTCTGGCCAGAGCCTCTTCTTTGGCATGGCCCCAAAACCAAAGGGGATGAAAACCACAACCACTCAGCCCCCTTCTTATCTGTGACCGAATTTGGTGGTAGGCAAGGAGATGGTGGGACACGTGCTTATAAGCTGATGACCATTCACCGCATAGATAAAGTGCAGCTACAAGCCCTGGATCTACCCTGCCTAGGCCTGAACTGACTCTCACTTATACTGGCTTTGCACCAATGGAGCTCCATTTTTCTTCAGTGGAGTTACTCCTTTTATACAAATGGAAAGGACAGGTCAATTGAGTCAAAAGAATTGATGGATTTATTTTCTAAGCTTTCATTATCATTTATTATACTTCTGACAACAAAACATGAGACAATGAAGTTGTGAATATTTATACTCACCAAAATGGAGGCTTATTTTGTAAGATACTAACTCTTCTGACAGCATGGGTTCTCAGCTGGAAGGCAGCATGACAGAGGTGATGTTACAAGCCTTTATAAATAGCACATAAAATGTATCTGTCTGTTCGCTTCATTAAACTTTCCTGATGAAGGCCTCAAGAGGGGGGTGATCAACTGGAGCTTTTTTCCCACCTTTAAATAGAATATTTAAAATAAGACACTAAATGAGAATGTTATTTATAGAGAAATGCCACTGGAATGTATCCAAAACAGAGCAGAGCATATTTCATACCTAGATTGATTGACTGACATGTTTTATACATACACAATTTCTCACTTCCTCAGTTAAAATGATTTAAAAGACCGAGACTTGTTTTTAGTGCTTTGATCAAAATAGAACATATTAGGATAATAAGCAAGCAAACCCAAAATGTAAAAAATAATTACTTGCATAGCCTATTAAAACTGCTCAACAAAATTACATACATGTCATAAAATTCTATCACAAAGAACACTATTTGTGAGCAATCTGCAGACAATTATCTGACTGTCATCATATTTGTCAAGGCAATAATCTACTGATAGACATGCTTAACCTTTAGCTGGACTTCTAAAGCACCCATTTTAGTCGGCCTTTAGCTTTTCCTTTGGCCTAACTGCTACATGATCTTGACTGCTAAATTTTACTACTGTTTGTCAGAGTGATAAAGAGCATTTGAAAAGAAGTGATTATAATGAGCAATTGGAAAAATGAAAGACAATATAAAACTGTTTTTGCCCTACGGGAAAAATACATACAAAGTTTCATTACAAGAGATAATTTTTACAAGAAAACATTGCCCCATGAATAGAGTTTCCATATTGATGACCTTTTCATATATATGAACAGAGTGTTTTGCTTAAATTTATTTCTTAACAACATATGTACTTATTCAAGCCTTAATGAATAAAATAATCCCTTTGCAAGTACTGGGAGATAAAGTTACAATCTTCAGAGAAAGGACCACATTAAATTAATGTGCTAAATTAAATTAGGTGACAGAGCTTTTATACAGGAATGAATAAGCAGTTATTGTCCAAAGGCCATGCACAAAGGAAATGCATGCATTTAAAAATGACACTGGGGCAGATGGTCACAATATAAAATATGCCACCGGGCTCTTGGCTATACATTAGCAGCTGTCATTCTTGTTGTGAGCCTTAGGTCCCAAACATGACATGTTTACAAGAGCATAATCTGCCTTTACACTAATGTAAAAAAGAAGCAGACACCAATTTAAACACACCTCTACACTGAGGTTACTTAATAAAGTCTGATACAGGGTTAGCCCAAGAGAAAACAGAAAAAAAAAACAATGGTGTATGTTATACTAGCGTATGTGTTGTGTGTCCAGTTATTCTGGGTTAGCTTTTTGCTCAAAGCATACAGAGGACTACCTACTGCCCACTAGGGCTGTGTGAAGCTTTGGTCACTGATTCGATCTGGCGGAGATTCAGCCCAATTCGGTGGCCAAATCTCCAAATCTGAATCAAATCAGGAGACTCTTTAATCTCTCCAAATTGAATTGGAACCCTCCGAATCAATTCAGAAAGATTTGATGACTCAGACACAGACACAGCTTTAAATGCTTTTTTCTGCATACCTCAAGGTACCAGGCAGCTCGTGAATGCTGAGATGTTGGGACGGATGAAGTATCCCACAGGAGCGTGGGGGGGTCCCCAGCGCGCTCGGCAGCAGACCCAGAAGTGGACCAGAAGCACTGCTGGGTCCACCAGGGACTGTGCAGGGAGCCCGCCCCCACACTCCCCCAGCTTGGTGACTGGTGCCTCCTGAGTCTGGGGGCGCACCCAAGGTCCCTCTGCAGCCAATCACTGAGCCAGGTGGGGCATGGGGTGGGGGCAGTCCCCCACATGCTTGCGTTTGACGGCGGACCTAGATCCCCCGCCCGACCTCCACACTTCTGTGGGATGCTCCATCCATCCCACGATTGCAACGTTCAGAAGCCATGCCTGGTACCTCGAGATATGTAGAAAAAAACATTTAAAGCTGTGTCCCCCGCTGCCTCTGCTGCCTTCCCTCTGCTGGGCCCCTGCCGCCTGTCCCCACTCCGGCCGCGCGCCCCGGGCCTCCACAAGAGGACATATAAAAGGGGTGGGGGGTGGTATATGGAATGTATCTTTAAGAGGCCAGCAGTGAGATGACATAGTCTCTCCCCCTGATGCCCTGTGGGTGTGGTTTGTGGTGGTGGGTAGTTGTAGTTCTCCCTGCAAGCTGTGAGCATGTGAGTTGCGGGGGATACCTGTAATCTGCATGAGGAAACAAAACTCATGGAAGAGGTGATCTCTTTTATTAGACCAACTAGATATTTGCAAACAAAGTGTTTTATTTATTTGCAAGCTTTTGGGCGCGCACACCCTACATCAGGCATAGGAGAGAGCAGAGATTGTAAAAGTTCTCCTAAGTAGAAATGAAAATTCTTATTTCACAGGAGAGCTGAAGGTGTGGTAAAGTCTCCTGTTTGGAATAGTTCATTTTGTCCAGGTTAGGCACACAGAAAGGTTGAAAAAGCCTTTTTACATCAAAGTTGCCTGGTGGCAAGCAGGATGTAGAAGTATATTTCCTTCAAGTTATAATGTCTCGTATTTCACAGAAGAGTGGAAAGCTAGAAAGCTCTTCTGGGCAAGAGCTCATTTTGTGGTGAGGTATCTGTGTGTCTCTGTTCTGAGATGCAAATTCACTCCAACAATGGTGGGAGCCTGGTGTTAGCATATCAGTGTCATGAATCAGAGCAGACGCCGGCAGCCGTCTGACTCACACCGGAGTGGTTAGATTTTGAACTCGGCAGGCGGGTAATTGATGGATGGAGTGGAATTAACCAGGCACAGACACGTGTAGGTTACAGGAGTTTGTTTACTTACGTCGCCTAGATAGTGATGACGACGCAGGCGAGCCTTTGTTCCATTACAGCATCGGTTACAGAGTTGAGTACACGCATTCAGGTTACAGCAAAGTAATGACGGACGTGGCGCCGGAACGAACGGTCGGGCTTGCAAGACTTTTCTACGTCAATATTTTACGATGACGGAGATGATTGATTGGGAATTGATCAGGTCCCCAACTCTCTGGTGACGAGCCCAGGTGTCTCCTTAGAGATCCCCAGAGTTCTCCGCCTTGGGCGGAAACCGTTAAACTATTTATAGGCAGAGTTGTTTGATAGAGATACCCAATCATGAACCGTTATATGGAATTTTTAATTTTTTGGCAGGTGGCAGCTCTTTGTCTCCTCAAGTTACAAGATAGTGGGTTAGGTTTTTCTACCTGTTACGTGTGTGCTACGTGTGAGGAGCTTACGCTTATTTTTTGACCAATTATATATAGTTTCCCCTCGCTTTTTATTTCAGCTGACCAATTATCTACAGTACTCCGGCCGCATTTTGTTTCAAGGAATTTTTGGCAGGGATGTCTTTTAACCCTTAATCGTCAAGTGAGGATCATTTGAATGGTATCTCTTGCTTAGTGGCATGGGCACAATTTAATTGGGTTGTGACAATCAGGTGGTAAAATGCTTCCTTCTTGTAAAATTATGAACTTCTTATTTTTAAAAAAATGGCTCTCCTATGCCTGATGAAGGTTGAGTGTTCTCAAAAACTTGCGAATAAATAAAATAATTTGTTTGCAAATATCTAGTTAGTCTAATAAAAGATATCACCTCATCCACAAGTTTTGATTCTTTTTGCCTCTAGACCAATACAGCTACAATCTGCATGAGACATTAACAGTTGGCCCAGCATTAAAAGCCTGATACTCTGGCCGCAAAGAACATGCTGAATGTAATCTTATTGGGTTTGGGGTGGGGGGGAGGGGGACTCAAAATGGAACACAGTAATTATCCCTTCCTTAGATACTTCTTTTCTCATAGATATATTCATAGAAGAGGGAACCTAAACCTAAATTTGTCCCCTAAAGCATTCCCTTCAGTTGTCAATTTAATGTTATGTCTTTTCTAATCCAGTGCTGGTAATCTAAAATAACTGTTAAAAAGCATAATGTTTTTGCAATGACTGCACTATAACCATCTGGCCCCATGACTTTCTTTTGCTGTAGCCAGTAATTCATTCAGCTTTTTAGCCTTACAAAGGTCTTGAGAAATTGCATCCTTTCTGTGTTTTTCATTTCCAAACACTGTGTGAAATGCATCCAATACTGCATATAGTTCGTTACACACACTAGATGTCACTGCATGACCTGAAATATACTCTGGATTTTGATTTCTGTCTTTAGTAATCTGAGACAAAAATGCCACACAATAGAAAATGAACTCTCTTGCCTCCAAAAAACACTACATTTCAGAGGCTTGAATAGGGGAAAATGAACTCACAACTACAAATCACACTAAATTATAATATTACTACCATACATTCCTGCCTCTTGTTTTTGACTTCTAGCCTTCAATTTATTAGCCCCTCTGCCAGGACAGGCTACTTCCCTCAACAGAAACATTTACACCTAGACCTAGATTGTTAGTCTGTCCTCCTTTAACAGTCCAATCTCTATTCTAGTGTTACTTGAAGGCTCAATCCCGGTGCTGGTCTGAATCTGAACAGAAGCAAATGCAAGTGAAGACAAGGCAAAGGATGCCAAGATTGTATTTACCTTTCCCCAGTCCTGAAGCTGGCTGGGAACTAATCCAGTCACCAATATACTTTAGTCTTGGGACTACCTAAATGTATGTCCCCCCCGCCAACAGCCCCAGTGGTCATCTTGACGCACACAGGTTGCCAGGGCATAGGGAGGGTGTCTACACGAGAGGTTTCCTATGCAGTTGACTAAACATCTACACAATAAACGTCTTGCATCTACACATGTGCAGCTATTAGGCTGGATAAACTAATTTACTCCACAGCAGGATAGTACTTTTATTTACAAATACAATCCTGCTGTGGAGTAAAAAACTCTGCAGCACTACACGTGTAGACACTGCTGCACACTGAAGCTCCCTCGTGCTCCAGCCAGCCCCTCTGCAGCATGGGCTGCTCCAACCCGGCTCTACATGCTGCACATGAATAAACTCTAGAGCAGATTGCTCCAGGGTAAATTGCTCCTGAGCACACATTTAAAGAGCATACCTGAGAGCAAAAAACTCCTTGCATGTGTAGATGTGCCCAGGGATGCCCTAGCCAGGCTCCAACTACCCCAACACCCAAGAACTCTTGTATTCTTTGTCAAACAGTCAATTGCTGCCTGACTTTGAATAAGTGAATCCTCTAAGCTGAAGTTTCTGAAAAATGGGGCAATAATAAATCTTGTCAGAAGAATGAATAAAACAATCTTGATCCAAGTTTTTTTTCATATTCTGTGAAGGTATTTTCCTTCCAACCAGCCATAGGAGAGGGCATGTGCCTACATTCCAGCACTGTAGATGAGGCTTACTGTATTTTACCAAAACAACATGCCCCCAAATAAAATACACACCTTGTTTCTGGAAGGCAGAATGTGGAAAAAAAGATTTTTCAAGCATCATGGTCCACTGTATGAGATAGGGTAAGTCCTCCTTGAAACACAGTGTGGAACTGTGCGTGTCTAGAAAATGTGGCATCCCAGGAGACAGTCTGGATGAGGCAGCAGGAAATTCCTGGTGTGGCAGGAAAAGGCAGCAGCAAGACTGTTTGTTCTTTACTGAAGTTCCTGTAAATAAAATGTTGTTTCCACATCACAAACCTCATCAAGATACTATCAGCAACTCACTTGCTGCTTAAGGCACAAGTAACAGTGCTCAGCCAATAGCTATGGCTGTGACTCTGCTCCTTCAGCTTGCTGGAGTCAGAGACAATCAGCAGCTGTCCTGGAAGCTGGGGGTGGGGGGGGCAGCTTTGGGGAAATGGTGCATGTCATATATGAGAATATTTTGATAGACTGCTTCCAAATCCTCAGATGGAGCTCTCTCATTAATATTAAAACTGTTATTTCATTTTTCAGATTTGACTTAGTGCCTCCTCCTCACTGGAGGCTACTCTTGATTTGAACTTCAGATGTTTATTATTTCTTAGTTTACAGAACAAATTCATTAAAATATTTCATAGTTTTTCAAGTGTCAAAACTCCCCATAATAAACATCAAAGCAAGCCATGCCCACATTTTAACTGGAACCAACAGGAAGAAGAATCAGCACTGAATGAATCAGCACTAGTGAATTCTAGTGAAGTGAATAAAAACTGTGGGTAGATTGAAAAGTCTGTCTCTAACTATATACTGCTCACTAAAGTGCAGAGTAATAAAGTGCAACACTGAATGTAAAAAAGTGAAATACTATAGTGTAAAGATCAGGGAATTTGGACTCAATGGCCGTGTCCAGATGAGTATGGACATTTGGTTCCCTGGGGATAACTAGCAGTGGCACGCTTTGTGCCACTGCCAGTTGTCCCAGGGGAATGCCCATGCCACGTGCCCTCTGGTGCATGGCAGGTTACCCTGGGTGAGGTAGGAGAGGCTGGGACCAAAACTGTGCTGGCCCCAGCAGTCTTGCCTTGGGTCCTGGGGGTCAGTATAGCTGCACCCACATTGCTCCTGCACCTGGAAGCCTGCCAACAGCTGGAGCATGGCTCTAGCCAACCAGGCTCCAGTTTTGGGTGGCACACATTGCCTCCACATGCATTGCCCCACTTTTTTCCTGCATGGGATTTTTTTTTCTCTGGAATCTCATAGCTTCATAGTTTCATAGTAGCTAGGGTCTGGAGGGACCTGAACAGATCATCTAGCCTGACCCCCTGCCACAGGCAGTAATGAACGCTGGGTTCACAAGATCCCAGACAGGTGATTTTCATAGATTTCATAGACATCAGGGCTGGAAGGGACCTTGAAAGATCATCGAGTCCAGCCCCCCACCCAAAGGGCAGGAAGTCAGCTGGGGTCATAGGATCCCAGCAAGATAAGCATCCAGTTTCATCTTGAAGGTGTTCAATGAAGGTGCTTGAACCACCTCCGGTGGCAGGCTGTTCCAGACCTTGGGGGCTCGGACAGTAAAGAAGTTCTTCCTTATGTCCAGCCTGAAACGATCTTGAAGTAGTTTGTGACCATTCGACCTCGTCATCCCTTGGGGCGCTCTGGTGAACAAACGTTCCCCCAGATGCTGGTGGTCACCCCTGATAAACTTGTAGGTGGCCATCAGATCACCCCTAAGCCTGCGCTTTTTCAGGCTAAAGAGCCCCACGGCTCTCAGCCTGTCATCGTAGGGTCTGCTTCCCTGACCTCTGATCATGCGCGTGGCTCTTCTCTGGACTCTCTCAAGCTTCTCCACATCCTTTTTGAATTGTGGAGCCCAAAACTGGACACAGTACTCCAGCTGCGGCCTCACTAAGGCCGAGTACAGGGGGAGAATGACGTCCCGGGATTTGCTTGAGAGACGTCCCGGGATTTGCTTGAGACGTCCCGGGATTTGCTTGAGATCATCGAGTCTGACCCCCTGCATAGGCAGGGAAGAGTGCTGGGTG